ATTGGTAGTGAATGGCAATCTATATCCGACTATCTTTGTTCAAAAAATCCATCTTTTGAAAAGAAACTTCGAACCATTTTACCATCAACGATGAATTTAGATGAAATAAGAGATATTGCTATTCGTATGCATAAAATTATGTCGATTGACATAGTACAATCTCTCTGGATAGTCTATCGAAAATATGGTATGGAAGAAATACAATCCAAACGACCAATCAATGAATCCGATACAAAACTTTGGCCAAAAGAAGTTTCATCACTCATGGAACAGTTAAAAAATGATAATATTATTGGTGAAAGTAGTTGTTTAATTTTCGTCAATCAATGTTTACAAGAATTCTACAATAAAAAGGAATATTATCGACGCGAATTAAATGTCAAGACCAGTCGTTTATCTGGTTATAACCATAGCATCGAATATACTATTGAAAAATTTGTACAACAAGGACTTCAATCTTTACATATTGAAATCAATGAACATATTGCCACGGTTCAATATCATTATACCAATAAAATATTTCAACACACTTATTTTGCTCAAAATCCTAATACAAATCAAGTAAACTTATTTTATATCGAGCTTATTTTATCTTACTATTTTAGATACAATCTTCGCTCTTAATCATATAAAAAAAGAAATTAGTTAGGAAAAACAAAAACTTTTTTTCATTCATATCCTTCTCTCTTTCAGATAGAATCTTGACGCAAAAAACAAAAATATAATCGGTATAAAATACGAAAGAATAGCAAAAATTCAAAATATTTTCTATTGCATATGGATTTCAATACAATTGATTTAACTCGAGCAGAACAAGCTACTTCTTTGTTAATTAATAATGAACAACAAGAATATCAATCAAGAACATTATTAGATAAAAATAATGGACGATATGCTTATTTACCTATATTTCCAACAGAATATGTTGGTCCAAATGAGTGTTTACTTTTGGCTAATGTACCAGGTTCGTATGTTCGATATAAATTGATTATAAATCATTTCATTTCATTGTCTTTTAGTTAGTCGTCTTGCACCTCATCAAATTAATCGACGTCAATATGGAGCCTATACTTTCAATGCACTGATGCTGATGAATAAGTACAATTATTCCGATGAATTTAGTTTATCTGAACACGATGCTAATGAATTAGCTTCACGATTACAAGTAGGCAAATCAATAATTACTTTCAATGCACGACGACTTCGTAGCATCTGTCATACTCTTCTTGCATTTCATGAATCATTTCGACGATATGTTCTATGTAAGAGTGATGTTGCTCTAAAAGAACCAACACCCAATTCGAGACAAATGGCTATGGCATTGGAATTCTATTTACAAATCGATGGTTAGTCTTCATGTCGATATATATGATGCATATATGTTTCATATTTTTTAGTGGATTTATTCTATATGAAAACTTGTTCGTTTCGAGGAGCTCATCCTCCATCTAATATAAAAGGTCTATTTTGTGGAAGAGATGAATCGCAAGCAAGATATTCATTGGTTTCATGTGATAATCTTTTTTGTCAATGTTGTTTTCCATTAAATACTTACAAGAAAAGTCAACCATGGCCAATTGTTAATTTTACTTCAAGTTCAATGCATCGATTTCTCAATGGTTATACTACCTATCTCAATTGTCCAGCAGTATGTTGTTGTCCCTAAATATTGAATTTTATATCGATCAGCTATGACTAAAATTTAGACATGTACTACATCGAATATAATTTATGCCATGACATGTCCATGTGGTCATTATGATTATATTGATTCAACAGCAAAAACATTGGCTGATGCTATGGCTTGTAAATATAAATTTTCTTACGTTAATCATGAACATGCCTTTATTTTTCTTCTTCTTTTTCCTAATGATATACAGATCATCGAGAACATGGCAATCGAATTATACATGAAAAATTAACTGATAGTCCTCTATTTCGAGGATCACAAATCGATCCTAATGAGAGAGAGTAATAAAAGACATTCGATCATTCTTTCGATTATACTACACATATTCTTTGTTTTCTTTTTCATTGTTGTGGAAAAGAAATGGTTAATCAAATGCGTCTCTATCAACATTCAGCTCGTTGTCCAGAAGCACTTCGTTCATTTCTTGATTGCAATCCTATGTATTGGTGTTTTATTCCTCTACCTGTGGATGAAGCAGCAACAGAAAATGCTGCTAATCGTCCAGGAACTTCTACTACAGATCCCAATCTGGATGCTGTGATAGCAACTACTGCCGTAGACAATCGTAGGGTGGCTAATTATCTAGATAATGTATCATTACCACCAACTCCCTATGCCTTCTCATATCGACAGATAAAACAACAGCGTCTATTTTTCGAACGATTTGTTACTTCTTCTATTCATTACCGGCCTTATATCAAATTAGATTTGTATAACATAGCAATCATTGCCGTTTGTAAGTAAATCTATCTTTATCAACCACATCATCATCATCATCATCACTATCATTTATACCTGTTTTTCTTTCACATTGATTTAGTACCAGATGATTGTTCAATGATACTACGATACATTATCGAAACATTATTCATTATTCATGGTGAAACTAAATTGAATATGATTTGTCCACTTGGTGGTGATGCTGAAAAACGTTACGGTTTTCCGTATAACCTGGATTGGTGTGACAATTTGAATCAATCATCAATGTCAACCACGACATCAACTCAGTGACGTTTTAAACCCACAATGGTCACTATTATAAAATAACATTTAATCAATATAAGCAACTTTATTTCACTCGTAGATAATAGTTAATCTTTAGTGTTTGTAATCTGTGTGCAAAATAGTTAACCTTAGATTAATGAAATATATTTGTGCATTTCTCCCAATATCATACTCAAATATAGTTTCATTCTAGATAAGTATAATCCTCCACGCACACTTACTCGTTTACTGCTCAACTAAACAAAACCAAGACATCTTGGTCATAAATCAAGCCATGTCACTACCAAATACATGACAAATCAACCTAGGTTCGCTCAATATCTGTATAGATTATCAGACAACGGCTTGACTGAAACTAAAAATCAATCGATACACCAAAAACCTATCTCCACTAGCTCTGCATTAGGTATCAGAACTGCGACAATACCACATCGCAAACATTATCCAGAATAAACAAACATAATCAATGAAACACAAATAAAAAAAAACAACACCTTCGGGTAAAATTACCAGTTCACTCCAAAACGAACTTACATATTTCAAACACTTATTAGATTACTCCTAACAAAACACTAAAATTACTAGCACTAACACACCATTTAACATACTGCTGCTTCATAAAACTGCTCGTCATTTCCATTAATCCATCCAAGTCGCACTAAACTACCTTCATTCCATCTACACTATTGAAACAACAAACGCCAAAGCGAATACTTCACATTCCAACAAACAAAAATCTTCCGACAGAAGATTCTATGCTACTTTCCCATAGATTTATAAACATCTATTCCTTCCCAAAACAAATTCCTCTGCGCCACAAAAAACACTATCAACTATGTCATAACAACGCTCAAAAATCTACACCGAATACCATTCTTTCCGATTCGACTGCTTTTACACTCCAAATCGTAGCAGTATATCCCACAACATCCTTTACTTACACAATTGCCATCCACATATCATATTTACTTAACAATTCTATCTTAAAACCTACCAATTCTCCATAATGTGTTCTACAAAATATCGCTAACCAACAACCTCTTCCAGCCCCACTTCCGATATGAGCTTCTGCAATCCATTCGCCCAATTCTCCAACAAAAACAACAAATCAGTTCACAAATACTTGCCATAAAATTATAACTGTTCCAAAACAAGCCTACTATCACTAGCACAGCTTTCATATAAACACACAACACATTAATCCGACCGCATGCTATTATAACTACAACTACAACACCGTTTCCTTAATTTACTTTCACTATTATCAAACTCACCACACTGAATTCACTCCTTTCATTTGAAAACACGATTTATATCAGTACAATTGAAAGATCAAAATTTTTATTGTGGTATCTCGAACACACACACATGGAGGTGTTTGTCGAAATTCTTTTCGAATTCCGAATTTGCATCTTATTTTTCATTTGAATTTTTCTGAAATCGAATCATCCTGAAACAGATACATCCCACTTGATAATATTTTATCAGTGCAACTAAAACACAACAATTTGTATTGCCGTAACTGTAACACACCCATATCTCACACTTCCATACCCACATCAAGACGTACACCCTCTTTGCTTAACTTTCGTTGAACTCTCTCAACATTGCAGATTTAAGGATTGAATTGCAGCACTATTTAATAGCCGAACTTACCTGATGAAGGCTCTTAAGCAAGGTCGAAACCGGTCGTAAGTATAGCTTGTGCTATTAAAAACGAAATTCATTTGTATACACACCCACACCGAACAAGAAAAACTCGATAGAAGATATAATACCAAAAAGTTTTGAGATTCCACCTGATGACGCTCGGACAAAACAGAAACAAACGCCCATTTGTCGTGGAACGGT